AGAGGCCAAGAGTGCCTGGGACAACCCTAGGGTGAAGGCAGGCATTCAGGTGGATGAGCTGCCCCTTTTAGTGGGAAAATTTGTAAAGAGCTCATTGCTCCAATGTCAGCTTTCTGAATATTTAACTCAGAGGCCGAATATTCATGTTCACTGGGCAAAGTGTATCTGTATTTATTTAGGTTTGTGTCAAACATGGAGGCCTTTAGAGGCAAATCAAAATGATGTGAAGATTAGCCGGAGGTATTTTAAAGACATATTCTTCAGGTTCTGATGTTGCTAATACTTGTTTTTTGTTTTTGTTTGTTTGTTTTGTTTTGTTTTGTTTTGTTTTAAGGCTCTGAAGCAATTGAAGCCAAGATGAAGGAACTAGCGGGAAAAATCATCACACTCATAAAGAATCACCCTGTTCTTCACCAAACGTGGGATGTACAGACTCAAAGGGAATCTCATAATATGTACTTTCATGAACCAGAACCGAAGGGGCACGTTCCTTTTTCCTCCAGAGGCGGCCTTTGGTTCTCACAGATTTCTGTAGCCGATTAAACATTTCCCAACAATCTCATTGGGGAGGAAGTGTGTTCATGTTGTGTCTGGTGTATGGTGATGTCTAGACGGGGAGCAAAGATCCCAGTAACTGAGCCTTCGTTGTGCTGTATGGGGAGGGTGGCGGGGCACATGCGATAACTAATTTTAAGTCAAATATAAGTCATTCTGTTACCTGGAACTCAACCACAGAATTGAGTGCGGCCCAAGCTTATTTCAATTTCTCACCTTGTTTATTTCTAGTTAAAAGGAAATTTAAACAGGTCTGGGGGTGGCTCAGGCACAGAATTTAAGGGGGCATAAAAAAACTCAGGAATCAAGATCAGTTATATATATATTTTTTAATTGAGGTGAAATTCACATAACATAGAATGAACCATTTTAAAGTGATCAGTTCAGTGACATTAGGTACATCCACAGTGTTGTGCGACCCTACCTCTATCTACTTCTGAAACATTTGCAACCCTCCAAAGTAAATCCCCATACCCATTGACAGTCACTCCCCGTTCCTACCTCCCAGCCCCTGGCAACTGCTAATCTCCTTTCTATTTTTATGATTTGCCTATTCTGCATATTTCATATAAGTGGAATCAGCAATGTGTGGCTTTTTGTGTCTGGCTTTTTTCATTTAGCATCTGATTTCGAGGGTCATTCTTATTGTAGCATGTATCTGTACATCATTCCTTTTTATGGCTGAATAAAATTCCATTGTATGTATTTACCACAATTTGTTTATCTGTTCATCCGCTGACGAACATTTGGGTTGTTTCTACTTTTCCGCTGTTGTGAATAGTGCTGTTATGAACGTTCATGTGCAAATATTTGTTTGAGTTCCTGTTTTTAATTCTTTGGGGTATATACCCAGGAGTGGAATTGCTGGGTTACAAGGTAATTCTGTTTAACTTTTTGAGGAAGCATCAGTAATATTTTCATGCAGTATTTTTTAAAGATCAAAATTAATTTTAAAATTTCTCAATGAACAAAATTTTGAGTTTAAAAATAAAGACGGGATCCAGCCCTGCATCCCACCTGCCTCCCCCAGTCCTGGCCCTGTTATACAACATTCTCGACCACTATGCTTCCTTATTCTCTCTGCTCACTTAGTTACTTACATTTGAGCTTTCTGCTACTAATTTAGATTTTTTAACTGCTCAGTTAATTTTTTGTGTTTGTTTTTGGCCTTTTAATTTTTTTCTCTTAATGCCATAAGGTGTTACAGCATTATTTTGTAAGAGCTACAGAAAATTTGCTTACCAAACACATGCAGAAATGAAATGAATAATTCTGATAAACAAAAATATTGAAGAGCTTTAGGGCCCCACTTGTGAAAATGGAGATCCCAACTTGGAGATCACAAGGGGTTCCAAGTGAAAAGCCCACAGGTAGGTTAAAAGCTAAAATAGTCTCACAGAGAAAGGGCCATAAGCACAGACGGCATACTTTAATATAACATGGATAGTCTGGCTTAAATAGAAGTTTTTAATTGTAACGATTATAATTTCGAAAGTCACTTACAACAGAGCGTTTTCCCTTCTGGGCCAATGATGCACGTATATAGCACTGGAAGGAAAGGCACTTAAGAAACAATAAACCGGCGTCCTTGTTGTTGCTATGTCAGATTTTTCTCCTTGGGAGACACCCTTGAACTTGGAATCCAGTGAAGCCGCAGGATGGTTGTAGCTCAGACTGCTTAAGATAGTGGAGCAGCTGTGGGACATGAACACATAGAAAGTTATAAAAAGTCATTCATTCAACAAATGTATCTTGAGGCCCAGCATGAGCCAAGCATGGTGTCAGGTGCTGGGGAAAGTGTAATGGAGCAGAATTTGTCCCCAAAATATGTTTCTTTGGCATAAGGATTATTTTAGGCTGATTATGTTTAAGAAACAGAAGACTTAGAACTAAGTTCTGAAAACTGAGTGGAAGTTACCCTTTTGTAAGAGACATTTATACTTACGAAGGAAATCTCCATTTGTAAGGGTGCCTCCCTCTCTGTACCAGGAAGATGAGTGACTCTAAATCTCTAGAAACTCTCATCAAAGGCGAAGGCAGGGACCTAAATCTGCCTAAAGACCTGACTCTTGTTTTCTTCTTTTCCTAATAACCTCCCATAACTGACTCCCCCAACCTGCTCCCCCCCAAAACAACTTCTTTTGTCTTTAGCTGGAGATGGTGTTTAAGGTGGTGGCTTGGGCCATTTGGAGGAGTTACTCAGTTTTCATCTCTCCCATGTATACAGGAGGGATCCACGTTATTAAACTGCTGCTTATTTTTCTTCTGCTAATCTGTCTTTTTTTATTACAAGAAGTTCTCAGCCAGGAATCTAGAAAAATAGAGGGATTGTTATTTTTCCTCCCCTACAGAAGCAACCTACCTTCTTGCACTTGACTGTCTCTTGGGGGAAGACAGGCTTTAAACAAATCTATAGGAAAATAAGTCCTTAATTATAATCATGATATATTCAGGGGACCATGAGAGTGTCAAAGAATAAGGACAAACAAACTTGTGAGAAAGTATAAAATGGGGTCCTATGACAAACCAGGGAGCCACAGGATGCCTACAAAGCAAATCCGGTAAATGTTTTACCCAAATTTGGGCCTGTGGTCACACAGTGTGAAGATAGCAGGCCAAGAGCTAGAAGACCCAGTGAGGGTGCGGTTTCCCAGATGGGTGGGGCAGTTGGCTGAGTGGTGACACTGTTTCAGTGGTGTCATCATCTGCTTGGTATCAGCCTAATTTTTACTTGACTAAAATTTGGATTGGGCTGAAGGTAAAGGACTCATTCATTCTTTTTTGCTTTCTCCATAAACCATCTAGTTCCATTCCTAATTGTCACTTTTGTTGCTGTATTTCTTACTTGGACCTTCTAGTTTGTTGAGATAAAAAGTACTAGTTACACGTACATCTATGCTCCATTACGGTCCGTGCCAGACATTGGCATTCACCGCTATTGCCCCTAGAGGTGAGGTTCTGCAACCCAAAAATGCTGTATAAGATGAAGTGAGATACTCAGAAACATCACCAGAAATCCAGAGTTGGTGAGATGATGCCTATGGGGTTCCTTTCTGTGCTGGTGTCTTTGGAGTTTGGATTTCTTGACTAGAGCAAGGGAGAGTTCAAGGTCATGTAACAAGTCTGAACCACACTCGCCCTAGGCTGTCGAACCCCTCCCAGTGCCTCCCTACAACCTCATCTGTTTTATATATGGGCGAGGAGATGTGGGATTCTTCCAGTTTATAAAATGGGGTCACATTTGTATTCTCAGGATCAGTAGTAGGACTGTATACTTGTCATTAATCTTAGCAGGACTGTTCGACTTGTATTCACATCTGAATATGGGTTTATCAATAAGCCAAATGTAATGATGACCTGCCATTTTGCCCATACTGCTGCTTCTTCTATTAACAGAAATAATAGGTGAACCATTTTGAAAAGGTTAGTTGTATTGTGACTCACATTGACTTTGAACAAAGTAATTGGATTATCTATTTTCTTTGAGTTTGCCAAGCATCAAGAATTTTCACGAGTTCTCCATCACAGCCTAGATGCCCCACACAGAAAGCCTATTTCAACATAGGCTTTTCAACATAGGCTTTCTGTGTGGGGCATCTAGGCTGTGATGGAGAATTCGTTGAGCTGCTTTTTGCCATGCACCTTTTGGTGTTTAATCTCCTGAACGGAGCACCCTTTCCATCCTTGTAGCTTCTGTCATATTACCTGCTTCCTCTGAGAAGAATACCAGTGAAGATCTGGGGAATCCCAGTTGGCACTGTTTGGTTATATAGTTCATTTTTAAGCCTTAATGTTAAGTTTTAAATTTCCCATATTTTTCTCGAACAAGAGATTGTTTTGAAAATAGACACATTGATCTGTTTTCTCTGGGGAGACTATGGGAGAGTTAATATGCTGGGAGTATTTGGTAGAGTAAGATAAAAGCCTAGAACCTGGGGGCTGGGACCAGTGTTTCAGGAAACTAAATTTTCCACGCTGAATCATCCTCTCTAGGGGATTCTCTGAACTAGAGAAACCTCATCACACACCACAGGCCAGGACAACGATATTGCTTGTTATAATGGTTACTTCTATAGAGAACTGAATAGCAAGAGATCAATATTTAGTTAGATTATCTACATTGCTGGAGTAGCAATTTCTGAATTCATTTGCACAAGTATATAATGTTTTAATGTCAAACCTGAGAAGTGTGAAGACTCAGAAGTAACTTTCAACCGAGAACTGTGACTTCTGTGTTCCTCCCATTGATTCATACCAGGAAGGTTTCTGATAGAATGAGTGTGTTTCATGGGTTTTGAAACACATTTGCTTTTCTCAGTGACTATCACAACTCTATGGTTTTATACCATAAGCCAGATGTTTTTCTTCTGTTCTCCATTATCTTTCCTTTATTCCAACCGTCCTAAGCATAACTCTTAACTTGGGTTTAAGGGAGATATATTTGAACCTATTTAAGAATAAAAAAGTAAAGCACATGATTTGATTACACATTCTTTAATGTTCAAAGGAGGTGCTGTCTAAAGCAGAGGGGCTGGCAGACTATGGCCACAGGCTAAATCGAGGCTGTTTTTGTAAAAAAGTTTTACTGGCATTCCTTTACAGATTGTCTTTACACATTGTCTATGGCTGCTTTCCTGCTACAGCAGCAGAGTTGAGTAGCTGCCAGAGAGACCCACAAAGCCTAAAACGTTTACTATCTGGTACTTGACAGATAAAAATTTGTTGACTACTGATCTAAAAGATGCGACGCAAGAAAAATTCTTTACAAATCTCCGATGGAATCTAAGTTTTAAAAGTCTTTTTTTCTATATCGTGAAGATATTCCCTTGAAAGTTTTTAAAAGAATTTATGGCATGAAAGAGGTTCTATGTTGAAAGATTACAGAAAAGTCTCTCTTCATCCTCTGTCCTCAGTCACCTTGCTCCCTTCCCTGGAGGTCATATTAGCAAATGTTCTGGGTTCTTCCAGAGACATATCATGCGAAGATGATTGTTTTGCCCTAATATTTAAGCAGCATCTTTATTTCAGATGAGGTTATATTTCTCTATTTAGAGAAAGAGAGTAATTATGAGATACGGAGAAAAAGTGGACAGGGGAAAGACCACAATTTAGTTCAGCTTGTCATAGATATAGTGCATATGCTGTAGACCCAACCTTGAACTGATGCAGCACAGACTATGGAAGACCGGTAGAATGTGGTCCAGCTGGGAAAGGGTCTAATACAGTGCTCGAACTGAAGCCTGTTGGAAGGCTAGGGGTTGAGTAGATGCATCTTTGTATTACAAACACTGGCAAGACCAATCATTGGCTAACCCAAACATTTCCCAAGGATGTTCCTGAGACATAGTGAGCCCAACTCCTCAGATCTGGAACATCCTGAAAATTGTGAGTTGCGAGGACTGTTGGTATTCTCACCAACAGTCAGAGATACTTTGGTGGTGAGGAACCCAGGTCTCCATCCCAGGTTTTAGAAGAGCACCCCGATCCCCTTTCTGTTCCCTTCTCTACCCCAGCTTCTCCCTAGACCAGCAGCGTCCAAAAGATAAAAGGCGAGCCACATGTATTATTTGAAAATGTATGGTAGCCATATTAAAAAAGTAAAAAAAAAAAAAAAACAGGTGAAATTAAGTTTAATAATATATTTTGGTATAATATATCTAAAATATTATAATTTTAACTTGTAATCATAAGTTATTAATGAGATATTTTACATTT